AACACACACACACACACACACACTCACACACACCTCTCTTCCCCCAAACCCCCACTCTTTCGCCACAGACACTTCGTGCGTGCCCTTGACCCTGCACCACGCCGAAGCAAACACGTCGGAGACGTACCACGGTACGGCCGTTCTCGTCATGTGTCACGCTGGCTTCGGTATTGATGACATCACCTCAGACTACGAGCTCACGTGTCTCAGTGAGCAGTGGCATCCTGAAGAACTGACGTGCCAGCGTGAGTTGATTTATTAACTTTTAACCATCATCGTTGCCTTTCTCACCCTGGATCAGGATATAGGCCACGAACAAACACTTTCCACCTTTCCCTATCCTGGGCTAGTCGCTTGATGTTATTCCATGTCCTCCCACTTTTCTGTACACATCCATTTCCGTGACTCTTCTCCATGTTTCACGAGGTCTTCCCCTTGATCTTTTACCCTGTGGGTTCCAATCTAACACTTTCTTTGTTATTAACTCTTAGTAAATCGATATTGTCATTTTTGCCGTTATCTTCATTATTATCATCATTGTTCATCATCAACATCATCATCTTCATCATCATCATCATCTTCATCATCATCATCAACTTCATCATCATCATCAGCAGAGTAGGTAGGGATAGAGTCTTAATTCCTTTATGTATAAAAGTATACTTTTTAAAAATATTTGAAATTTGGTTTATTAAATTGGCTCAACGTTTTGTCACACAGGCTTTCTCAGGAGCCTCACTATCATCATCTTTATTATCATGATGATGATCATCATCATCAACATCATCATCATCATCATCATCATCATCATCATCATCATCATCATCATCATTGTGGAACCATCGTCATTGCCTTTCTCATCCTGGATCAGGGAAAAGCCACAAACAAAAACTTTAAACATCTCCCTATCCTGTCCTGGCCTTTTGGTATCATTCCTCACCTTCCCACTCTTCTGTTCATTGTTCTCAATGACTCTTCTCCAAGTTCCACAATTTATTGTTGTCAGTAAGTTAGTGTTTTAAACATCTATAAAATGGCAGCTTGCACTGTATGCTTCCCAGAAAGTTGAGATTGCTTCACAATGCTATCAGGTCTGCTGGGGTAATATTAAAAATATTATCGTTATAGATTGTAAAGCATATAGAGCTTGCTGTGGAACGGGTATTTGCAATATATATATAATATGCTGTTTATTATAATAGTATTTTTTTTAAAGCAGAGAATCTCTTCACTATCTCACTCTCCATCTCTTTGCATTTCTCTCTTCATATTTGTCTCTCC